TGTCCTCCATGATTCATTCAGTCTTCATGTATTGGATTTCTGATTTCTAATCAGTAATTAACAACATTTCACTTCTGGTTTAATTAGATATGCACTGATGTTATTGAACATTAAGAACTGGCATCATCTGAATCAGCAGATTTTATTTTTAAGATATATGTCCAAAGATAATTAAGACAATAATTGATAAGATAAAAAATGCATAAAGTAGCTACTTCATGACATTAAGCCATTAAGCATTTCATGGTTACTTACTTTATTGAGGATATTTTTGTCATGCTCCTTAACACCCACTCGAAATCCCATCAGCCCATCAGCATCACGTAAATCCCTACATTACATACATATACAAAAATCCTTGGATACTTGGAATGATCATTATTTCTTAGTTAAAGGTTCTTAAACATGAGTGTAAAATGGCGCAGCAGATAAAGCACAATGTAGGCTACTTTCACTTTCATTTTTAGTAGCACAATGTGTTCGATCAGCTTTAGAATGACGTTTGGTATTTTATAACTCTTAAGAAAAATTGCACTGCATGTCAGATGATGCAGGCCTATATAACAAATCGAAACGCATGTGTTTATACTTCGTTTTGTGATTTTAGTACGGATAAATTAAGCAGCAGAGTGGTGCGCATGCTCTGTGAACGAGAGGAAGCTGCTGCTGGTAACCACTGCAACTCTTCAGCACTACATTAAAAACCATAGACATAATAAATACCTAGACGCCTCATTGGCCGCTCGACCGCACGTCAACGTCGGCGCCATATTGGTCCGGGCAACTCTACTATCTGGACAGAAGAAAACATAGCTGACTCGCCGGCGGCTTGGGCATCTACAAACCGTCGCACAACAATACAAACAGACCTCAGGGTATTATCTTTCACAGGTAAGACTGAACAGTTGTTTCTGTATGTTTGTTTGGTCATTTTTAGCTTTATGTTGACAGCTTAATTAGCCACCAGTGGCAGACTATTAATAGCTAGCGATATTGCTATAAGCTGTGAAAGCTGAGACTTTGTATGAAATCAAAGTTTAAATGAATTCTTAAGTTTTAACTTTATATTGTAGTTTATATCATAAAGTAAATGGTGTTATGAGCACAATATGTACAGTGAGAACACTTTGAAAAGACAATGCCAGACTGGCAGGATTGGGGATCTAAAGCATCTCTCTTTAATTTCACTAACGTTACTTATTTACAAAGAGTACGTTTATCATCACTTGATTATAAGGACTTCATAGCTTAATATATATATATATATAATATATATTCATTATTGTCTATTCTGTATTATTCCACCCTTGATATGACATACTCTGCTTGCTATTATTCATCTATTGTTATTCATTTATTTATTTTGGAATTATACATATAATTTATTCTATTATATACTGTTGTACTCACTTTTTATATTATTCACTTTACTACAACTTAATATTACATATCACTTTTACTGTGCGCCGTATCAGTGCATAATATTTTACCGCTGTAACTGTAAGTTTTACTGGATGCATAAAGGATTATCAGTTGAGTTTATATCTGTGTAGAGTGCTATCAAAATAAAAAGCAGACTACCAAGAGTGTCACTTTTTGATTTGTATTCGCTGGTTTTATTCAGTGTTCTCAATGAAGGTAAATGATTAGTGCTTAAAGATGTATTATTTAGATTTTCTTCCAGTGTTTCAAAGGGAATGAGCTGTGTTCGGACCTGAAGCACAAGAAAAGCTCAAATGTTGGGGTTGAAGACAGAGAAAGCAATGAAACAACTTAATTTCATGTAATGTACATTCAAATGACAACACATGTATATGCCAGTTATACTATTATAATTGTAACAGTTATACATTAGAATTGTAAACCGAAAAAATCGACAAGTGTGAGTTTTCACAATTTCTTACGAAAATTAATCATTTTCCAAACCTAACTAAATAACTGGAGGCAGAGTTATTTTTAACTCCATGTAGATCACAAACCTCTGAAATGGGTTGATAAATGTAAACGTTATCGTGTTTTTATTCAGATAAACCTTCACAAACATGGCGGACACGTTGACGTATCGCTATTCTGAATCTTGTCTAAATTTAAAATCCCAATCATTCCTAAAGAATATGCTGTAGTTATGGACGCTGTCCCCTCTGGTGTAAAAATACATGTCCCCAATCTTCTCTGCAGTCTTTTGATCCTGTTGACACTGCTGTTGCTGGAGTTGTTAAACACAGTAATCGACAGCTTCGGGCCCTTTTTCAAAGGGATGTTGCAACTTTCTGGAATAGCTGTGTTGATGGTTTGATATGGCATATTGCATCACAGGGGAAGTTGCTAAAGGAAGGTTGATTTGTTGCTAAATGACGCGATGTCATTGCGCGGTGACGTCATTGCGTAATCACGATGCAACATTGCGTCACTGCATCAACTCTCAGCAAAAAATATAAACAAATTTATATGTATGTTAATTTAGATGTGTTTATAAAATAATATAAATGCATAATATAATAATATAATGTAACTAATTTTAAACAAAACATTGACTTATTTAACACTTTCACATTTTTTAACTATTATAATTTAAGTTTATTTTTATCAGCTAGTAAACTAGTAAACTACTCATTCTGAACGATTATAGTTTTAAGCAGTGCATTAGCAGTTCGTATGCTACACTCTAAGAAAAGTCTGTAAAAATAGGGCAAAAACTATTAATATGAAGGAATTTTCCGTAATTATTATTCACACGTTTTTTTACCTACATTTTAAATTACGCATTGTATTTTGTGTTTTCGGGTTACAGGGTTACAATGGATAACGCATAATGTCCTGGAAAATTACTAAATTTTTCTAGATATTTTTCTTACCGTGCATTAACTGCTCAACAAACTCAAGTACAAGCTACTAACAAGGTGTATCATAAATGAACAATTATTCAATTATTATTATTAAATTAAACAATTGCTAGCATCCAACTAAATTCATGTGATGTGTGTACTGCTAGGCGCCTTTGGTTTCCTCTTTTTGTGTCATTTAGATGGAAAATGTGTGCCTTTTTTATCGTTTGAGTCACTTATCAAAAGTTGCCAAATAAATAAATAAATAAAAATACATTTGTTGCTAGGGTACTCTGAAAAGTTGGCTAGCCCCTTCGCCGGAAAATATTTCCCTACTTCCGGTTTGCTTACGTCACATTGTGAAATAGGCCTATTCAGAGCTGTAGAGAGTTGTGACAGCTCCGTTCACTCCAATGGAGCAGTTTTTTACAGCAATGGCGGATCGTGGAGCCGCTCAATAGTTCCCGGATGTTAGCGCTCACACTATCAGCGCCGTAGAGATGCAGCAGAAGACACCGCTGTGATGACCTTTTGAAAGGTAAGACATTTATAGAACAAAATAGTATATGATCAGCACAGCTAATCAAATTACCCTGTGCATTAAAACAGATGATTATTAGATTATTCCTCACTTAATTAGTAGATTTACGGGATGCTATTCATTCTCTTCATGCAGTTTCATCCATC